GAAGACAATGCAGCTTGCATCGAACAGCTCAATAAGGGTTACATCAAAGGAGACAACACCAAGCATATTGCGCCGAAGTTCTTCTTTACACATCAACAACAAGAGCATCAGAAGATTGAAGTCACGCAAATCCGATCACAAGACAATCTGGCCGACCTCTTCACCAAATCACTACCGAAGGCGACGTTTCAGAAGCTTGTTCATGGAATTGGTATGCGTAAACTTTCTGAGTTGTAACTTTGCTATTTCTCTTTGGAATTATGTCAAACTCAGGGGGAGTATCTTCTAGATACTTGCTTGATCTTAATGTACTCTTTTTCCCTACGATTAGGAGCATTTTTCCCACTGGGTTTTTGCTACCTAACTAGGTTTTAACGAGGCACCCACCTTGGGCTGGTCATATCCCTGATGACGTCCTGTAGACGTTTCATTTGACTTTGCATTTCATTTCTCACCTTTAGACTGGATTTTTTGTCCCTACTTGGGTTTTTTGCCATAGCCTTAGGGTTTTTAGTGAGACTTACTACTTATGCAAGTTCCTACCTTATTGAGAATAAGCGTTGTTCCTTGGAATCAGTGCCAACGAGTCGACTTCCTCAACTTCTGCATGATGCTGAATTTACCTTGAGTATTTACACACTCAAGGGGGAGTGTTGTAAACATTCCTAGTTTAAGTATGATTGTGTAAATCCTAGATAAGATTTGATTCTAGTTATCCTTTCCTATTACAACTTGTATTACTTGGAGAAGAAGGAATATCTTCTCTCCCTTTACTACTATAAATAAAGGCACAATGTAGGAGGGATAATAACACACACATTCCCCTACAATTCTACAAACACACATCTCTCTCCTCTCTCTCTCTGCCGCCGGCTCTAGTCCCTCTGTCAGATAAAATAGACCACAACATATGTGGATTTGAAGGGAGGGATTAATGATTTTAAAAAAATGCATTAATGTTTAAATATTAATTGCATATTATCACAAATTGGAGATTAATCCTTCGGGCGGAAAAAAAAAGCATTAATTATATATATATATACTATTCTTAAGACGTCGTAATTGTTTCCCAAATTTGCATAATATTAGGCAATTTTAATTTAATTTTTCCTTTTTCTTACCAAATGAAAATCTTAAAGGACACTGTAAAATAATTTACATAAAAATATAGGTAAATTAATTTCTTTTTTTAGTAAATTAATTTTAACACACATATAATAAGTGGTGTTAAGCCCACCCTATTGTCTTATCACTCCACCCATTCTAAAATATAAATGCCAATGACAAATATCTCTTCTTATAAAATGACATTTACATTTATGGACTCAAACAATAACCACTAACATTTTGCCAAATCAACATTAGTTGAAACAGCAGAAAAGAAAAAGGGAACAAAAAATCATTTAAAACCCCACACTACTATACAAACCTAACCAGTCCACATCTGCACGCCTTCCTCATGGCGGCGTCGATGCCAGCAACTCTTCCCTCTTCAAATTCCCTTTCTCTCATGACAAGTTGCAGCCTTAATCTAATTCCGGCGAAAAGATTGTGTACGATGAAGGAGAAAATATGGGTAAAATTGTGGATGTGGATGGTTGTGAGGCTACGACAGTGCTGCGAAGGGTGGCATGGGGTAGGGCATGGGTGTTGGTGTAGCTGAAGTTTTTTCTTTAGATAAATATATTACATATATATACATATATATTGATATATATATACCTATTACAGAAAATAAAATTTAAAGAACTAAAATATATTTAAAAGGTTATAACGTAAGGGTAATCGGAATAAAGAAAGGGAATTGAATTCCGATTACGGAGTATTCCGGTGTTTACTAAATATTAAGGAATAAAAAAGTGGTGGAGCCCACACGAAACAAGGAATCCAATTCCTGAAATTGGAGGAACCGGATTCCCTAGTTTTGTGAGGTATTTGAATTCCCTGAGGGCAAGGGAATTGGGAATACATCTTTTATTCCAATTATGCCCTCACTTGTTTCTTATTATCCCAACATTGCCCTTCATTTGACACTCATTAGTTATGTCATTTTTAATAAATAAATAAAACCTATTTATATATTTTTATATAGATAATTTTATTATATAAATTTAATTTAATTAATTAGTATGAAAATAATTTATTTATGTAAGGGCAATTTAGTCATCAACTTAGTTTTCATTCCGATTTAAGTGAATTAGTAAACAACTTATATGGGCTCAACATCATTCTTGCCATCTTTTAATAAATAAATAAAACCTATTTATACATGCTTATATAGATGAATTTTATTATATAAATTTAATTTAATTAATTAGTATGAAAATAATTTATTTATGTAAGGGCAATTTAGTAATCAACCTAGTTTTCATTCTGATTGAAATGAATTAGTTAACAACTTATATGGACTCAACATCATTCCTACTCCAATTCCTGACAGTTTTAGTAAACAACTTCAACAGGAATCTGATTCTGATTCCACCTCATTTCAATTCCTCCTTAATCCAATTCCCCCTCAATCCAATTCCTCTCAATTTGATTGCGGATTAGTAAACGCGCCCTAAGAGTAATGCTAGGAAGACTAAATTTGTAGACAAAATTGTGTAAACTAAATGACATATAAGTTGGTGATTGGATTATTACTTGCACGTTGATAAACGTGCTCATTCCTATTGGTGGCACATCATTTACACTATGTTTGGATGAAGAAATTTAAGATTACTAAGGAATTTTAAAATGACCGTAATTGAAATGATGGGATTTTATTTTCTAAAATTTGTGAATTTTCTTGTTTGGTTAACCTAAAAGAACAATGGAATTGAATACGGAATTATATTTTTAAACTCTCAATCATGGAAATTGGAAAATGACACCTATTTACATAGAATTTAAACTTGGGAGTTGGAGGTCCCAAATTCCAAGTTTTTTTTCACACGGAAATTCTAAATTTCTATGTTTATGAATCCAAACAAAGGAATTGATGCATATCAATTTATAAATTCTGACTTTTACCTAAATTCCAAGTTTATTTCTCTCATCCAAATATAGTGCCAGTTTGTAAATTTTGTCTACAAATTTAGTCTCCCTAGCATCACCCTTGGAATAATGGTGGGGGAAAGAGTAATGTTATTATTTACCTTTTATAGTGGGTGGGAAGATAAGACAATGGGGTGGGCTTAGTACCACTCCATATGATATATACAATAACAATACAATGCGGATAGTCTATGTAATCATACATGCAAAAAATGTTATTTGATTCAAAATTAATTTACCTATATTTTACATATAAGTATAGGTAAATCATTTTACACACCACATATAATAACAATAAAATATCCTGAATATATGTAATAATACATGCAAATTAATTTACTTACAAAATAAAAGAATGTTATTTGATTCAAAATTAATTTACCTATATTTTACATATAAATCTAGGTAAATTATTTTAGACACACATATATAATAACAATAAAATGTGCCTAATATATGTAATAATACATACAAAATTATATATCTACAAACTAAAGAAATGTTATTTGATTCAAAATTAATTTTACATATAAATATAGGTAAAATGTTTTTTGCACGCATATATAATAATATAAAAAGTGAATAATCCATGCAAGATAATTTACTCACATAAAAGATTAATTTTTTTTTTCAAACAATATTATTTGATTCAAAATACTTGGTTGTACAAAAGAATTCTTTTTCATACGATAGATGCCTATTATTTTTTGAATGTGGGTAAATTAATTCATATATGTTACTAACATTTATGATATAAGAAGGTAAAATTTTCATATAGGTTTAATTGTCATCATAATTAGGATGAGTAATAACATATTGACATAATTAGGTTTTGCGGCAATAAGTAGTGAATATGTTACATATTTGTCTACATGACAATCTATTTGAAATTTAGGTCTTATCTAAATGTTTAACATTAGGTGGATTTATGTTTGAAACTTGGTTCGGATTTGCGGTTATTGGTGGGTCAGATCTATCACATACAATTGGTTTCGATGGGTGAGCTTCCTTACATAGCCTCCGCCTTGCTTAGCTCGTGCTCACTATAGATCTCTCTAGATGCTATGAAGTTGCTAGTAGTCTTGCCAGTGTGTCATAATCCTATGTATTTGAGTTTCCTTCTAGGATTAGTTTAGATCATTTGTTTATAATGTTATCCCACTTTGCAAATGATGTGGTCTTACTTTTTAGTGATTTGGCTTGTAGTCTATTGTGGTTGCAGTCTTTTAGGTTATATCTCCATATCAAAACACCACATACTTTACAACTTCCTTGTATTGCGCATGTTAAGGATGATCATTCAATCACGCGGGTAAACCTCTTAATTAATGATAATTTTAATAGTAAATTTTGTTTTCATACTTCATCTATCCAATCCAAGTATAATCTCAATGGATTTTTTTTCTATATAGGTCGGTCACTCAAGCGTACATGTGTGACTAAAAATTACGTTACTGACAGTTGCCTATTCGAACTTCCGAACGCCCACACTGATGTTAACAACCGCTTATCTACTCTGCACTATTTCATAATCAAATGTGCTCATACATCTTTACTTTTTATGCATCAGTACAAGAGAAATCAAGAACTATTGAATTATTCCCAACATGCAAACACCATACAGCAATAACCAAGATCACACCAACAATTTGTCGATAATCCAGTTAGAAAGCGTCTTCTCTTGTTCATAGGGCTTGTGATTCTCTTCATAGGGAAATAAGCACTGTTGGAAAAGATTCGGATATAAATTTGTATAGGATTATTGAGTGGTAAAAATTCAAATACTAGGCAGTAGCAAATAGATTGGGAGAGAAAAAATAGAGTTTGGTAGCCGTCATCCATTGCATACATAAAATTCCTAGCAGAAAATTAAGCTCTCTCCCTATATATGTCTCTCTCTCTCTCTCTCTCTCTCTCTCTCTCTCTCTCTCTCTCTCTCTCTCTCTCTCTCTCTCTCTCTCATTCTCTCTCGCATAGCAATTACACCTTTCTCTCCCACCATTAAATGCAATTGCACCCTCTCAATACGCTCTGCAATTACTCCCTCTGCCCCCTTATCTCCTTCCTTGCCCTTCTCTATTTCCTAAAACCACTTCCCTTTCTTCTTTCTCATCTTCTCCTCCTTTTCCAACTTCCAAAACCTTTTACTAGTCTAGATAATCTTGCACACCAAAAACCGTACGCTGGAAAACCACTTTTGGGACACCAAACAGTGGTTTCCCGGCACACGTTAAGCCCAAAACCAGATCTACAGCGCCTCGCTCTCTAGGGCTTTTGATAAGGTGCAGATACACAACATCATACATCTATAGGTACATATTCTTCCAACCTAGAATTTCGCATGCCTTAAACTTCTCATTTTCTTTTTCAATTTTTGTCCGAAGGCTTCTGTCTTCTCAGTATTTGTAATGCTTCTTACAAATTTTTGTTTTTTGAGTTTTTCTAACATTAATTTGGCTTTTTGGGCAGCTAGGGCAAGACCAGAAAATATAAGGAGAAACTTGGGTTGTTACAGTTTGGATTACTCCCGAGATATATTCGTGTGCGTTATGTGTTTGGTTTAGATCGATCGATTTTTTTTTTTTTTTTTTTGTGTGAAGACTCAAGCCGTATTGAAATCGTCAACCCCTTTAATCTTAATCTCTTCATATACTCACACTCTCCATTTCATCACCAAGTGCAAAATTGAACCGTGTGACAAAACCTCATTTTGTCTTCTCTCTGTCTCTTTGTTTTTTCACCTGAAAAATTTCACATTTATCCCTCTGTCTAGATCAAACTCAAAAATCCAAATCAACCTCAAACCCCCTAAACTAAGAAACTAATCGCACAAATTAAAAATTCAGGTTGCTTTTGAGTATTTTTGGCCTTGAAGTATGCAAGCCGGGCTTATTATTCCGGCGAGAAACATGCCTTCCATGATGGGAGGCAATGGGAACATTACTGGGTTTGCGTCAACTTCAGGACTCACACTTGGTCAGGTCAGCACGCTTAAATTTGAGTTTTTTGTGTAATTGGTATACTAATTTACAAATCTACGCCTTTGCTTTTCAGGCGAATTAGATCTATTTTTTTTTCCAATGATTCGGCTATTTATCTAAAATAATTTTTTTTTTGAACCAAGAGAAAAATTAACAAATGGATTTTATCAATCAGTACGTCAAGATCCATTTTCCTAGTTTTTTTTTCCCTTATCCCTCTTCATCTCGGTATTTTAACATTTTAATTAATTAATTTTATAACGTAAGATGGGTTTGACTACTCAGGTAGTCCAAAAAATTCTTTTGTGGCAAAATCCTTCTCGGTAATAGAAAAAAGTTGGAATGGTTTCCACTACAAACACTGGCTCAGAGATCTAAGTTCAACGCGTTTTCTTGTTCATTTTTTCAAAGAATATTTTAGTATTGACCTAATACACAGGTCAGCGTGTGCTAAGAAACTACTATATAGGAGATGCGTATTGGGTTTTTTTTTCTTTCCTTTTGAGTGGATACATTTTTCCATTCTGTTGTTGTTAGATTGAAAAACCATAAGCTTGCTAAGCCCTTGGGACAAAAATCAATATCTTAAAGATCTCTGGATATGTTGCAGCCAAATATGATGGACGCCAGTAATCTGCACCCGCTAGACATGGCTCCAAACACCTCTGAAAGCGACATTCCTCGGTTCCGAGATGATGACTTCGACAGTGCTAACAAATCCGGCAGCGACAACCCTGAAGGCGGTTCGGGTGATGACCAAGAAAACCCTCGACCCAAAAAGAAGCGTTATCACCGCCACACTCAGCATCAGATCCAAGAAATGGAAGCGTAAGTTATATTTATTAATTAGTCTCAAACCTCCTAAACAAGCTTTTGTTAAGCAGTTGTTCGAAATCTTTTAGTTCACCTATGAATTAGTCTTTTTTGGTTGTTTTATTTAGGTTTTTCAAGGAATGTCCCCACCCAGATGACAAGCAGAGGAAGGAACTGAGCCGGGAATTAGGTTTGGAACCATTACAAGTCAAATTTTGGTTTCAAAACAAGCGCACCCAAATGAAGGTATATATTTGTTCTTGAAATTTCTTTAATAAGGGCTTTGGAATACTCAAACTTTGTCTTTTTTAATTTTTCCTTTGTTGAAGCTACTAATTGACTGTTTTTGTTTGCTGCCAATGCTGCATTACAGACTCAGCATGAGCGGCATGAGAACACACAACTTCGGAACGAAAACGAAAAGCTCCGTACTGATAACATGAGGTACAGAGAAGCGCTAGGTAATGCCTCATGCCCCAATTGTGGCGGCCCAACAGTTCTAGGGGAGATGTCTTTCGACGAACACCATCTGAGACTCGAAAATGCTCGATTACGAGAAGAGGTAGAGAAAATTAAAGATAAAGAAAATATCAAACACATTTATTATTTGGTGGATATTTTACCTATTTTAGTATAACAAATTAGGATAACATTCTATTGGCAGATGCGCAGACTGTTACATATATGTTTCAGATACGTGGCAAATGATATGTCGCCAGATTGATAACTTATTTCCTTTATTGTTCAGATTGATAGTATATCAGCGATAGCTGCGAAGTATGTTGGCAAACCATTAGGAACCTACCCTCTCATGTCTTCTCCAGTTCCTTCCCGTGGTCAACTTGATCTTGGGGTTGGGAACTTTGGTGGTCAGCCAGGCATGGGCGGTGAGATGTATGGTGCTGGAGACCTTCTCAGGTCAATCAGTGCACCAAGTGAGGTAGACAAGCCAATGATAATTGAGCTTGCTCTTGCAGCTATGGAGGAACTCTTCAAAATGGCCCAAATGGGTGAACCTTTGTGGATGACAAGCTTTGATGGCACCACAACCATACTCAATGAAGATGAGTACATCAGGACATTCCCTCGTGGAATCGGGCCAAAACAAAACGGCTTCAAAACTGAAGCTTCGCGTGAGAGTGCAGTTGTTATCATGAACCACATTAACCTTGTTGAGATTCTTATGGATGTGGTAAGCTTAACAACTCCATTACACATTTACATACGTGTCTTCATTAATGTCATCATATTGTTCTATTAAAAAAAATTAATAACGTCTTTGAATTAAGGAATCACATGAACCCTAACTATTACGTGTGATTTTATAACGTGTAGAATCAATGGTCGACTGTGTTTTCTGGGATTGTGTCAAGAGCTCTGACCCTTGAAGTCCTATCATCTGGCGTGCCTGGAAATTACAATGGAGCCTTGCAAGTGGTTTGTAAATTTTCCCCTCAAATTTCAATTTTAGCTCTCCTTGTTTTACCATGAATTGTTTAGATTTCGTGCCACATATATTCTTGCATTAAAATACAGTTTGTGATTAATTGGTAGATGACGGCAGAATTCCAAGTTCCTTCACCACTTGTTCCAACTCGTGAGAGTTATTATGTAAGGTACTGCAAACAGCATGCCGATGGCACCTGGGCTGTGGTTGATGTTTCATTGGACGACTTGCGCCCCAATCCTGAGCCTAGATCTTGTCAAAGAAGGCCCTCGGGATGCCTAATTCAAGAATTGCCAAATGGATATTCAAAGGTATACAATTAAACACTATATAATGCGTGTTTCACCTTCATGTGACATTTAATTATGGCCGAATTTTTAAAGTAAATATATTTCATCAATTGATAAAATTTTGGTGCATTAGGTTACATGGGTTGAGCATGCTGAAGTGGATGAAAGAGGTGTTCACAACCTCTACAAGCAGCTGGTTAGCTCCGGCCATGCATTTGGCGCGAAACGATGGGTTGCCACCTTGGACCGGCAATGCGAACGTCTAGCTAGTGCAATGGCATCAAACATCCCTACTGGTGATGTTGGAGGTAATAACAATTTAGTTTGCTATTTCATTTTTCTTTTGTAATATTTTAATGGAATGGTATAAGGCACTAATTTGGCATGGGGCTATTCTGCTACGTTTTGGTATTCACTAACAAGATAGTCCGTTAAAAGATTACGCGTCCCGAAAATGGCATAATCCGTTAATGCCCACATGTTAATTTAAGCCTAATTATATTCGATATAAATTCATTAACCCTAATTGTTTATATTTGTTACGTTCATGGTTAATTAGTGATTACAAATCAAGAAGGGAGAAAAAGCATGCTAAAATTGGCTGAAAGAATGGTGATTAGCTTCTGTTCTGGAGTGAGTGCATCAACCACTCACACATGGACCACACTGTCTGGAACCGGTGCTGATGATGTCCGGGTGATGACCCGAAAAAGTGTGGATGATCCCGGAAGGCCTCCAGGTATTGTGCTCAGTGCCGCCACATCTTTTTGGCTTCCAGTTCCTCCCAAAAGAGTCTTTGAGTTTCTCCGCGATGAGAACTCCCGCAGCGAGGTACAGACACTTCAACTAGTCTTCAAACTTAATTAGTTGTGCTCTGATTCTTGGAATAAATTTACCAAATCTAATACAGGACCCAAATTAATGCGTACCTACATTTTGCAGAAGCCTGAGAATTATACTCTAAATTATAAATAAATATTACCATGCATGTGTCTCAGAAAAATGTAACAGAACTAGTACATGAACCATTTCTAAAACATACCATATACGGACTAGTATACACAGACACCATTTGCACAGTAAGTAATTTCTATGGAAGATCAAAAGCATATTTATCACATCCCACCTAATATAGAGACAAATACCACAGAAAACCTAGGCTTATTTTGTGTCAAACTCAGCCGAAAAAAACGAAAGGGAAAAAAAACCAAGATGGAAGTTTGGTTTTTACAAACAATCAGCTAATTAAACTGAAAGCATACATTTATCCGCCCTAAATTGTTCTAATTGAGTAATTGTGATGGTCACTTATGCTTGCAGTGGGATATTCTTTCCAATGGGGGAATTGTTCAAGAGATGGCACACATTGCGAATGGTCATGACACTGGGAATTGCGTGTCTCTACTACGAGTAAATGTAGCTTTATGTTTTATAATGATTTTGTTTTCCCTAATTAAGTATATTTCTTGATCTTCACATAACAATTGACATAGTAATATAAAATTAATTTGTAGAGTGCCAATTCAAGCCAGAGCAACATGCTGATACTGCAAGAGAGCTGCACTGACCCAACAGCTTCCTTTGTGATTTATGCACCAGTTGACATTGTTGCCATGAATGTGGTGCTGAATGGGAGTGACCCTGATTATGTTGCCCTTCTTCCTTCTGGGTTTGCTATACTCCCGGATGGAGCCGACATTGGAGACTCTGGCTCTGGTGGTGGTTCCCTTCTCACTGTTGCTTTTCAGATCTTGGTTGATTCAATCCCAACTGCTAAGCTGTCTCTCGGGTCGGTTGCAACAGTTAACAATCTTATTGCTTGCACTGTTGAGAGGATCAAAGCTGCATTGTCATGCGACAATGAGTGAACTTCATGACTCAATTAGTTAATTTCTATAGGTAATCTAATTATACATGGCACATGTTACAAGTTAATTGCATGTCACATATTTGGTGTGTAATATTAGTCAAATAATCGTTTCCCTTTACTTTGTTGCAATATTTTGAGGACGAGGAAGGGAGGTGAAATGAGAGACACAGATGGTGGTAAGGAATTTCGGCAGCTTATACCCAGGAGGGGAGAAGTCAAGAGCGCACCCTACATGATCTTTTTGTATAATCTATAAAGAGATTAGGGGTTCGGGTATTGACTTCGTCGAACTATGTTAAAGGCAAATTAAGCGCTTGAGACCTTATTTATTTTTTGTTTTTGCTTTTATTGAACTTTCTCATTTTCCACCTCTAACCTTGTACACAAGATTAGGGTTTTGGAATGGATATTGCTTTTCTTTATGGTCAAACGTTCAGGGTTTCTTTTTTTGAAAAAGGTTTTTAAAAGTACGGTTTTATTTTAAGAATTTTCTTTTTTTAAGTAATTTGTGTTGAATGATTGTGGATTGTTTGCCTTTGTTGGTATTCGCGACTTTTGACTTAAGCTGTTTATTACGGCAAAAGTTATACAACGCATCAGTGTTTGAGATGTAACATTGCATGGAACAATTGGATTATGAAAGTTACAATTTGACTGCTCAAATGCTAATACATCTTATACGCTGGTGTATTTCTATGCAATGCACCAGTGAAGAAAAAAAGCAGTTTATAATCCCAAATGCATAAGTTATTTGATACCTTAAATACAAGTTGTTGATAAAAACGTAGCATAGTTCAAGTGGTTGGGGATGGTAGGGGTTGGGATAAGGATTAGCCAAGGGGTTTGCTTCCTCCCATTTTTACTAGGAAAAAAAAATCAAGCAATTAAAGCTAGTCTCCTAGATGAGCGAAGAAGCTTAATCTTAGTAGGGAGGAAATTATCTCAAAGGTGACGAATTTTAAGCTGAAAAACGCTTAAATTAATATTATATGTGGATAAATTATGTAATCCAATGATTTCATGTGCCACCGGTTCTTTAGATTGCGAAGATATATACTCTATGTAACTTGCTATTTATTATCAAACAATCAATTATGAACTATTTATCAAATGAGTACAGGTCATGTCTAAATGTATGATTCTAGTTGAGTTTGATAATTGTCCGACAACATTTGATCACTTAACCAGAATTTTTTTTTGCCTTTTCCAGTCCATTTTAATGTAGGCATCACATCAACAGATATAAAGATTATTCCATTCATTAGTTACACATTTTGAGCATCTGCAACGTAATATTTAAATTTGAAAATATGAGTACACCCTTTAAAATTCAATTTTCTTTAATTAAAATTCATCATGATAAATTTCTTTAACAAAAATCCAATGACTAAGCTCTAACTAAGCAATATCCATAATTAAGTTTGACTTGGAAAATTTTGTATTTTTGGATGTCTAAATTACCCCTAATAACACTTACTTTGGGTCTCTCACTTATTATCTACATTTATTTTACATTATTTCATTCAATTAAATGTTCAAATACCTTATGGAGATTTAGAAAAAAAAACTCAAATGTCATGATTCCTATGCATTTAATAGCAAAAATTTACATGATACCAATGTTCCTTATATAGTTGTTTTCACATGATGCTAACACGTAAATTAGTATATTATTGCACAACATATATAACAATATAAGTTCTTAGTAAATTATGTAATGACACATGCAAAATAATTTACCTACAAAATAAATAAATATTTTTTATTCAAAATTAATTAAATACCAATATTTTGCAAAAAAAAAATATATATATAAAACAATTTACCTACAAAATAAAAGAGTGTTGATTGATTGCACACTCTATATAATAATAACAAAATGTGGCTAGTATATATGTAATATCACATGAAAAATAATTAACCTACAAAATAAATAAATGTTTTTAGCCAATTGATTCAAATTAATTAGTTACATATTATTTTACATAAAAATATATATAAATTATTTGTATGCATATATATAATTTTAACAAAATGTATCTAATACATATATGCAAAATAATTTACCTACAATGATTGTCAAACAAATAAAAGAAATGAAACATATGATGGTAAGAGAAGTATAAAGTAGATAATTTTCTAATAATAAGGCACTTATTTCTCACAATTATGATGGCAGTCTACTTCAAATTTGGGTTTTATTTGGATGTTTAAAATGAAATTGATTTTTATTAAGGAAATTAGTTTTGCATGGGCTTATATCTAAAAAACCCTATTTAAATTGTACATACTTTTGTGCAGCAAGAAAACTCACTGATTGACACTTAATAACTGGAAATATGAACCTCTCTAAACCCTCATTGACTCTTAGTCCTCCATGGTGCAAGAGAAATTGCAGTTGAAGTAGTACAAAATTACTAATTGGAACAAATGCCGCTTTTATAATCAGACAGAAAGGCTTGTTGCTGGGTTCTGGTTCCACATGCATATGTAATATTGTCAGCAGTGCTTTGTATTCATTTCATGGTGTGAATTCTTGGAAGTAATGTTGCAATTAATGTATCTGCAAACTCTGTCTCATCTCATAAAAACGTTGACCTTTCTGCACTATATCTAGCAAGAAAATGTAAAAACAATAAGTCAAGTTGAAAAGTTTTCACCATATTGTTTGACCTGAACCATTTGAGACAATGCGCGGGCACACGGACACAGACGTACGACAAAAATATCCATACCCACCAATTGTGATGCACTTTTCAATAGAAAAAAGGGAACTTTAACGAAAAGCACCCGGTACTGTTTACTTTAACGAAAAACCACATTTTTACACTAAAAAGTCAATCCTGGTACTATTCACTTTACCCTTTATTTTGTCCTTATCATTAAAACTCAAAGTTTTCAAACCCTTTTCATTAGTTTTCCTTAGAAAAAATGGATGTCTTTTATTCTAAGGCCATCTTCAATTGAGAGCTAGCCAGATAGCTCGTTTTAGCCTTCTGGCCCTCCAAGATTATTTAAGATATTAATATTTTAATGAATAGTACAGGGTCATATTTGTCTCCGTCTCCAACCGAGGGCCAGAGGGCCAGAGGGCTCGTTTTAGTCCTGTCACAAAAAACTATCTCCAACCAAGGGCCAAAGGATTAAACATAATTTATTATTTAAATTTAAAAACAACAATAACTTAAATTTAAAAACTACAACTAAAATTTAAAAATGACAAATTAAATTTAAAAACTACAACTTAAATTTAATATCCATAATCATTATTATCTTCATCATCCGCCATCGTATGAGTATAGTCTGTTGATGCACAAAATCAGCGAGGACTTTGGTACAACAGAAAGTGTTAAGTTTGTGACCTTCGCTAGATTGCTCTGGTCACTAGTGTGGATAAGTATGTAAATGGATAGAGACAGGGAAGCAAACACAAAATGTACGTGGTTCACCCATATTGGCTACGTCCACGGAGTAGAGGAGTTCTCATTAATTATGAAGGGTTTACACAAGTACATAGGTTCAAGCTCTCCTTTTGTGAGTACTAGTGAATGATTTAGTACAAATGACATTAGGAAATATTGTGAGATAATGATCTCTATTTATAGAAGAGAGTTTCTAGTTTCATTCTGACATTGACACGTGTCATGTTATGATTGGCTTCTGATGTTGACATGTGTTGCGTTATGATTGACTTCTGATGTCGACACGTGTCGCGCTATGATTGGCCTCCTGGTTGGAGGGAAACTCTTCTAGGTCCTTGACGGTATAACGTTGACCGGTGCTCAGTAGTTTCGGGATTGATCAAGTATGGTACAAACAGTGCTCCCCTAAGTTCTGTAGTAAGGGAAGCTTATCGGTTGGGGACTTGCAAGATCCAAGCTGTTGAGTAATCACGAAACTTCTAAGTACCGAAATGTGGTATCGTCTTCACTTGCCTTATCTGTCTCATAGGTAGATGTGGCATCTTCTCTGGAAGTACTTTTCCTCCATCTAAGGGTGGTATCTTTAACCGGTGGAGATGCACAAGTTAATGTATCAATTTGACTTGAAGCTACTTGTAGTTTCAGGCTTGGTCAAGCGCGATACAACCCATGTAGTAGGAGTTCCCCAAGTCGCCGAGCTAGGAGATTTGCCGAATGAGGTAACAGACAAGGTAAGCAATAAGACTTCCAAACAAGCAACCTGGATCGGAGGTTCGACTTCGGCTTCTGGTTGATTGTTCTCCTTCTCCTTGTGTCATAAACAGCAACAAGGATAAGGAGAAGCAAATGGAGAAGAGATGATATGAGATACTTTTATTTTTGAAGAAGTAACTTTCCACGGGCTTATTTTTTAACTGGGCTGGAGGGTTTTCTGGTTTCCTCCAGAATATAGGGCCGACTTAAGAATTTGAAGGTTAAAACAAGTCCATCAAATCTAGAGTACATTCGACCTGGTGATATAGGATACTTTTATTGTTGACAAAGTAGTAGATGTATCGGCACGTGTTCTGTTACGCTTGTCTCCACATGCTTCCTTGTATCATTCTCACTTGCCCTATCTGTTCCTCAGACAGATGTGTTATCTTCTCTGGAAGCATAAGATGTTGAAGATAAGTACTCGAGAGCAATGTCAGGTAAGTAATCAGGTAAGGGGTTCTAGGCAGTCAGTTCCTGACTGGAAGCTTGATTCCAAGTGCTGACTGATTGCTTTCTTTCTCCTTGTCTTGCAGGTAAGAACAAAGCCAAAGGAAAAAACAGGGAAAAAGCATGTGATATGGGATACTCTTGCTTTTAACCCTGATGATATGCGATACTCTTGCTCTGGTGTGGCTTGTTTGCAGAGGTATTATTGGGGGGAAAAGAAGTTGAGTATTTCGAGATACTCTACTGAGAGTGCCCTCTCGGATGTGAAGAAAAGTTGAGCATTTTTTTTTTATTTGCAGGTCTGCCTGGCTGTGGAGGATGGAAATCTTTCCTTTTGCCCTGAGATTGATATGTTTGTTGACTTGACAAAGTATTAAGTAAGGCAGGGAGAGGCACCGCCGCCGTTTGGAAGGTCGAGGTCTTCTCATTTGGTTGGATCTGGCTTCCACTCCCTACTTGCTGATAAATGGTGGTTGTGGGGGGGTTTCCCTTGATATGTCCTTACCTCAGCGGAGGCATGGTTGTAAGCCTATGCCATCATCTCAGAGTAAGTCTTCCAAGTGTTGGCATTGATCATGTACTTGAAGAAACAATCACGTAGGCCTGCCGTGAAGGCCTTGAGGGCGATCTTGTCATCTGCCTTAGTGCAGCGAGAATACTCATGGCTGAAACGACCAGCATACTCTCGTAGTGACTCGTCCGGCTTCTGGTGAATAGTGTACAAGTCATCTGCAGAATGCAAGCGATCAGTCTGGAAGATGTGTTGAGAGTATTAAAAAATTTGCTTGCATTATGCTGATGACTTGTACACTATTCATCTGCTGAATGTTGCTAGCCGTTATACT